GAATTTTTCACACTGCTAGACTACTGCTGTTTTATGGGTCTTTTTCTTGCTGGGGTCTAGACATACAAATGTTCTGGGGTACAAAGAAAGGTAATTATAGGCACAGTACATAATTGTCAAAAACAGGTGGGTTTTGAGGTATCAGGGTGGAATGAATGGTAGTGTTTTAATATACAAAATCTCATTCTGTGCTTGAAAAATACAAAATGTACAATATATGTCTTATATGATGATCTGTCACCAAGAAATTTCTGTTTTAAAAATGGTATATTTTTTTTTTCATTTTCTCTGTATTTTTCAAACTACAGAATGTTTTTATTATGAGATGGGTATTGATGAGTGTGAAAATTCTTGAGGATTTTGCAAAATCTGTCCCCAAAAAAGGAACAGTTAACCTATATTATAAAAGACAACAATTATCTGTACTCTGCCTATATTGAACAAGGATATTATTGTAAGTTAGAGACTTTGAATAGATGGCTAGTATTTCTGGTATAAAATGTGATTTATTGTTAAAACTGGAGGCAGAACAGGATTCAATATTTATGGATTGGCAGTGGGGATTGGTGTGAAACTCCAGCTGTAATTGGAAAGTCTAAATTCATCATCATCATTTGCAGCATTTTGACTTGGTAATGATGCAGCAAGCATTAAAAATGTAGAACTTTCCATACATGTAATTGCAATGACGATCAGGTTGAATAGTGTTTAGGACATTCATTATGTACATGCATTTGAAAAAATCAAAAGTGAAAGCCCAACCCCACTTTCTGGAATTATGTGTCAGTTTGTGCATGCACACAGTGGCATCAGGGGAAGTCATCCAGTATTTCTGAAAAAATAGGGGAGACAACTTTACAAATGGCTGAGGTGTGATTTATTGGCTGTTTTGATTTAATGGGAAGTAACTGTGTGTTGACATTGTCATGATATGATGGATGGCCTACATTTATATCAATATTGTGTAATTAACTGGTCAGTAAAATGGCAGTAAAACATTGTGAGGTGTCAATTAGGAGATGATGAATCATTGGATCAGGAAGGGGGCCAGGTTCATCAGTAGTAGTAGCCAAGATACCTGTAGGAATTTTGTTCTATTCCTGTGAGAACAATAGTTGAATGGGTTTGATTGTGTTAAACATAGATGTATGACAGTGTTGAAATTGTCATTTTTTTCTCAATTTCATGACATGTTATTCATTTCTGACTCAGTGAAATAGCTTGTCTGATAATTTAATTTAAAGTGATATATGCTACCTGGTATATGTATTACATGTAGTGAGTACAATGTATTAATTTGAGAACTGCATTATATCGTTGCACAACTAGTTGCTCATTTTAGTAAAATGAAAATTATTTTTTTTTTATTTTCCCAATTAAAACACTGTATTTTCAACACAGGAGGCTAGTTAATTTAAATGTTTTTGATAAAATTTATAGGATATAATGCCAAGATTTGGAATGTTTGGACAGTATATATATACTTTGGAATATTTGGACAGCACATGGGTCTCCTGGGTGTATGGAATTCACTGGCCCTACTTCTTGCCCAGCATGTTTTAGAAGTTTGGACAAATAACCCAGATAACAAGAAGTTAAATCTCAATTTTCTCAGCAGGAAAGGTGCTTAGTTAGGGCTCGAACAATTATCACCGACCTGTTTGACATTGAATCTGATCTTGGTGTGAGATAGAATGTGAGTTAGAGAGGAGGGCAGGTGTTTTAGGGGGTCACTGAAAATACTGAGGTTTATTTCAGGCCAAGCTGCTGGAATGTATATATAGAGGAATTCTCTTTGTGTTAGTTATTGAACACTTGTGCCAAAATAAAGAGATGTATTGTTTGGGTATCTCCCAGCTCTCAAAGGAATGATGTTTTATGTAAGCTAGCTAGGATTGCCTTCCTCATAATGTATGATATAGTTTTTTATAAATCCTCACAGACTAAAGACATATAAACACTCCAACAGCTGGCAAAAAATTACCACTGCTTTATCATCCATCCAAATAATAAATATTATAGGCTGTTGTACACTTGTTTATTGTTGAAAATGAAAAAAATGTATAACATTGTATAACCTCAGAGAGGCTGATTTATTTATTTTTTTCATCATAAACATTCAATTTGTCTGTCTCTTTTGGAAGCAATGACTTTAACTGTTCCTAACTGTATTTTTGGTGAAAAATTTAAATCATTGTACAGTATTCAAATGAATTAATTGATGTAATTATCTTGCCTGACAGTGTGAAGTGGTTTACTCTTATGTGTGGTCACTTCATCAAATAATACCCTGCTCTTCAACTAGTAATTATCACTAATCATGTCAACCCATCCAGCTAATTACTTGTACAGTTTTGTGCAATTAACATCACTGCTGGTCCCTTAGGAGATTATTTAATGTGTAGCCAAGGTTTGCCACTTTGCACTCAGGTGTAAGAAATTGACCATTTAGGGATTTGGGGGAAGTCCCTTTGACAGGTGTGAAATACTCATAGAAGAATATAAATATTGGGCCTGGAATTTGTCTGGTCAGTTTTGTTGGTAAACTTCCAGACAGCTAAATGTGATACAGAAAGCTATAATGACAGTTATTTATAGCTAAACAAATTACTAATTATCTCAGAGCCAGGAATTTTTATTACAGTTGTAGATGTTGAAGCTCTTTTGATAGCAAGGTAATTTTCTGGAACATTTCCCAACACATTTAAATTCCAGCAGTCACAATATTTACAATATAAGATAAAATATAAGGGTAATTTGAATAATTCGTAATAAGTTTTGATATGTTTGAAAGATTTCAAACAAATATATTTTTAATATGCAATTTTCCAATTTTTTTTTATTTATTTATGTCATTTCTAGGAAAGATGGATAATTTTTATGATTGAAAAAAAAAAAAAATTCTGAGATCATATATTTTTTATCCACCTAAGAAATCCAACTTCTCTAATGCCTATAAAACTCTGAGATATTTTTGGTTGAATTCTGATTCACACATTTACATAAGGTAATATATTGACACAAAAGCTTATTGGGCCCGTCTTTATTAGCTCACAGAGGACTAGAGATGGATGCTACCTTTTGTGTTTGTGGTTGTCTAGATTTCCCTTTCATTGATAGCCATCAATGTATTCTCTGATGTGTGATAATCTAACTACCTATCTGTGAATGGAAAAATTATTACTCTCTGCATGGGGTCCTTGAAAAGTGCAATCAACGTGTTCCTTTTGATGTCTGTTTGTCCAGACCTCAACCTGTTAACCCCACCCCAGGGGGTGATGGATATTTTTAGAGGGGTAGTGTAGGTATTTTAGAAAGCACAAGAGTTGCCAGGTTTCAGTTTCTATACTTTTTTTTCCTATGATCAGTTGGCATTTTGAGTCGGTGTTCCTGTGTATCAGAACAGACTGGTTGGAATTTTTGTGAATCATTTAACGCTTCTGCAGATCTGACAATAAAACATTGTTATCGGATGAAATTAAATATGGAATGCTGCAGGTCCTGATAACATCTGTCAACTTTATCGAAGATGGTATAACTCAGGGGAATAACAACCTTCCCCCAGAAAATAGGAGGGGGGTCAGATGAAATTATTCAAATCACCAGAGTCTAAGGTCCAAGGTGTTTCTCCAACTGATGGCCACATATCTAAAGAAAGATGCAGATGGATTTGTTGCAAAAATCTGCCATTGATCACAGATTCTCTGGCTTCTGATGAAAAGCATTACTTTTTTCCTTGACTCAAATAATGGAAATGCACCTAGAGACAGTCTACGGTTAACCTTATTTTTCATCACCAGAAACTAAACGTAAATTCATTATTCTGAAAATTTGGTGTATTGTCTTTGCAGCCGTCAGGTAGGTTCATTTGCTCTAGGTGCACAGATGATAATATAATGATCTCAGAGCAGAAGCCCATTGTGTATTGTGCTATGCACTTCATCAAACAGAAAACTCCATTGTGTATTGTGGTGTGCACTCTTGTGGTAGCTTTTGTCTTCCATTAGTGTATTGGTGCAGTTCAGCAGATCCCTTCCCTAGCATCAGATGTGATCAGCTTTCATTGTCTAGATTGAGTGTTCCTGTTGATAGTGAATTATTGAGTTTTTGGAGCCAATATGTCAAAATGTCCTATACACAGTGAGCTGATTAATATAGAGATGCTATGCTTGATTTTTAAAGTCAATTAGACACTTTTACATCTGATGATTTTATCCTGGAATTTATTTTTCCTCATTATGTCTAAACCTTGAAGTGACTTGTGTGCTTTCTGCTGTTTTGGATCTATGTATTAACATTCATATTTGCAAAAGCTAATGAAGAAGACAAAATCTGCTTATGATTATTCATAATCTAGGAATCCACACTTTGTTTTTTGCAAGGACTTTGCTTTTTGTGTGGGCAAGGTTATCAGGAACAGTTAATTCTTATGTGTTTTTAAATGCATTAATAGTTGATTGAACATGTTGAATTTGTAAATTTGACTGGGAGTAAGTTGTGTTTTTTTTTGTCAATGGATTTGAGGAGATTATTTTTTTGTTCTCACCAAAGTCAGAATTTATGATTAAGACTCTGTGACTCCATGAATAAATTTTTTTTCAAAAGAATGAACTTCCCACTCAACGTGACTCGAATATTTTTTTAATGATATAGATGTGATGTAACAAGATTTTAAGCTAAAATAATTTCTAATTTCATGTGCCCAGTGGTTCTTGAAATGTGATATTTTTTACAAATACATGTGCAAAATAGGAAATATCTATTTTGGACTGTCTTTAGATGCAAATACCATTACTGCATAATAAAAGGAAAAGAACTATTTTCATTTAATGACACTTAATGGCCCCAGTTGACTGGGTTCTTTAAAGCTGATTATAGATTCTCCTGTTTTAGGAAGAATTTTCCCTTGCCCAAAACAGCTGGGGCCTTACAGAGAGTGTTACAACATAATCAGCTTTCTGTCAATTGCTTTTCACTTAATCTTTTTATCTTGTTTTCAGGTATATTCCAAGGAGGTACTAGAAGACCCATTGGAACAGAGTAGGATTCACTCATAGAGCACTGAATTCACACCCGAGGACTCAGGACTTTTTTCTTCTTCTCATCCTGCGTCATTTTGTTTATCGCTCTCCGACTGTGCAGTGTTACAGATTCAAAAGTGCATTGTAGATTCCATCAGTGCTATAAACGCGTGGATTTTTATATATATACAGCTGCGTGATCAAAGATCCTGCAGGGATCTGCACATTCCTAGCTTACAGGATTACTAGTACTTATGTAATTACAGGAATATCTTGAATTATAGAATTTAATATAAAAAATCATTTTGGGAGTATACTCGTACAAAAAAAATTCTTTTTTACTGATGTGATGGAATATTTAACCGAGGTTGTAAAATCGCATAAAGTGGAAAGTATAAATCCCAACGCAGACTGTGCGAACTGTCGCAGGAGGAATTTTTTATCCAAATTCGGAATGATCTCAGCCAAAAGCCACACGATGAGTGTTCTGTTTCTAGTGACAATATTCGTGAGTGTGTGTTCAGCTCAGAATCTGAAGATAGACATAGGTGACACCCTTCGTCAACAGGACCTCCGAAAGGGAACTGTGGAATTTCAGGCCCCTGTGGCCCTTCAGTGGGGAATAGCAGACACTTCGTCCAATGTAGGAAAAATGTTCAAATTTGCCATACCCGACGATGCTTTCAGAGGGACCATTCATACAATGAAGGTGAGCGAGTTGACTCAATTTTTTTTTAATTTAGTGCATGTTAAATTGGCATTATTTCAATGTGACCTGAAATTGATAGCTTTTAAATCCTAATATAGACAGTATCATAATCTTCACTATTAGGTTGACTTCACTTTAAATTCTCAATGGCTGCATAGTGACTATCATCAGTTAATTCTTTGTTGAGAAGTGCAGATGAGTAAGTTTGGGAAAAAAGAGGGTCTTTTTGTCAGATACATGAATGATGCAAAAAAATGATTTCCTCCCCTAAACATTATAAATAACCTATTCACCAAGTTCACAGATTATTATACCACTTTATCAAATCAACTGCAACCTAAAATTCCCAAATGTGTCAGATTTCAGGCACTTTAAAATTAACTGCATTTATAATGTAAATAATTTGGGTGCACTTAAATAAAATACTTTCCTTGTGTCGATCCAAATTCACAGAGACCCTACACATAACAGTTCAAATAAACAATGCAGCATGGCACAGATTAATATTGGGCAACAGCGCGTCTTAGTTTATTTTTTTTACCCAATAAATTTTCTTGTGATGCATTTTCTTATATCATCACCTGTCAGAAATGGTGATAGAAGCATGGATTCATCTGTCTGCAACTGATAAAGACTTTATTAATATAAATATGATTTTCTACAGTTTAGAGTGTTATGTGCAGTCCCTTTCAATTGCTTCTGTCAAGGTTCTCTACCTTTTTTTTTTTTTTTACTTTCTTTTTCCCCCGTAATACGCAGACAGAATCTTTTTTAGGAATCATAAACATAAATTCTAGGTCAGAAAAAGATGCATTTACAAGGTTGGCATTCATTATTTGGGCAAACAGATGTACATTTATAGAATATGTAGTTCACACATATTTCCCTTTGGGATTGACATATTTTTACAAATAGTGCATTATATCAGACAAAACACAGATGCTACATTTGACATTTTCTCACAAAAATGCATGAACATTTTTTTTTATATCTAAGATCATTATAGAGAGTAGAAACCTAGCTGCTTTTTGAATGTCAATTAACTGTTGTAAGTATATATTAATTGATATACAAGATCCTCACTCATTTCATATTTCATTAGTCTAGCTGTTCCTCATGACCTTGACATTTTGTCCCTCTAGATCTGTCACAAAGACATCACATTCTGGGCTTCATTGTAGTATCTTCTGCATGGAATTGTCTGAAACTTGGCAGATAGATCCTTATCTTTGTGGGAAAGCTGTGTTCTAGACACAAAATGGTGGTTATACCACCCTTCAGTGCTGTCAGCTGTCCACTTCCCTACCCCTCAAGAAAACGTTCTCTTTGATAGTCCTTTTAACAAAAGACATTCGACATTAAACCATTGTCAACATTTGGGAGGAACATATAAGATAAGACAGATGGAATGTTTTCTTCATTATGTGATTCTGTTCCCACCCTTTGTTAATTGCTTGATGAAAATGTTTTTGTCAGTAACTCGCATGGTAATGGCTACAGTTTCTAGGCATAAGGCAGGTATAAGTTTTTGCAGATTCATCAGAAGATATCGTGCTACTTTGTCTTTGGTAAATTATATTGACATATGGAAATGGAGTATGCTCAGGGAGAAAACATTTTTACACTTAATTTGATCCTCCCAAATTGTCTGTGCCAGAGAGAAAAAAAAATGTCTCATGCATCAGTTATTAGTGCCTAATGTTAGCTTATATTGCTGACAAAATTACGTAATACATCATTCAAAGCACAGCAATTTTCTCTTTTTGTCTCCCTCTCTTCAAGTGGTAAATATAAAATGTGAGGAAAATAAACATTATCCCGAAGACATTTGGCACATTTAACATATTCCAATTTCTTTCAACTTGTCATCATCTTCACCAAAGTTAGAAAAGTAGAATGTCCTTGAGCTAGAAGTTAACTCTGTGATCTTTAGTTTGTTTATGCATATTAACATGGATCCAGGAGGCTAGGTAGAATGGCTAACTATGAGTAGTTTTATAGCTATTGCTTTTGGCAACAAGTAAGTTGATGACCATGTGCATCCATTGGTCCTACTGTGTTGACCTTAGATAACCCCTACTGTTTTTTCTCACCATAATACCATCTAATTTGTTTCTGTACCTGCATCAAAATGATGGAATCTTTTCAATTTTTTTCTGCTTTGGGGTTGAAATATACCATACACCAATTTATACGTTAATAAAAAAGATTTATTGGTTGACTGGGAAATAAAAAAAAATGTCACCTTGATTAGGTGGTTGAGAAAATTGAAGGAAGGACAAATTAAAAATAAAGAATTGTCAACTTGATAGGAATTCCTTATGCCAGCAAGAAAAATTCAGGGATACTAAAATTCAAACTTACTGGTACAAGAAGTCAGAAGGTTAGCTGGAGAAATCTGTAAAGCTTTTTAGACAAAGCATGAAGGAAAGGAACTCTTGTTATACATCTCCACTGAAATTAGAGACCCTTTAGCTGTGTTAATATGAGAACAAAAACTCTTAATATGGTGTCCATAGTTTAGATACTTTCAGTGATAATTAATCTCTTTGAAGACAGCTACATACAACATGTACAAAGTATCCTATGACTTAAGACCTGAAATTCCTCTTTTTTGTTTTCTGAAGATATTCCGAGAGATTGCATAAAAATGTAATAAAATTTAATGACTGTTACACAACATGATGTAACATTCTTTTCTCCCCTAGTTCCTCCACAGATGTTAATATTAAATAAAGAAGTAGGCCATATTTTTTATCGTAAATCTAAATTTCTGAAAATTTATGGATCAAAAATGTTCTTGTGAGCTTTCTCACTTCCGACAGATACATGCAATTGAAGCAAATTTTGACTTATTGGTTTAATTTTCTCATAATAACTGTGATAAAGTCTCTCCAGTATGTAAGCTATCTATAAACCTTGAAGACATTTGCATAATTGCCCCACATGTAATATCTAGATTAATGCATGTTGCCTAAATTATTGCACATTTAAATGATATGTTCTGAATTGGATGATTTAGTTTAGCATATTTATTGCACTTTAAGAATACATTAATTACAGGAAGAGGTAATTATCGTTAACCTTTATATTATATTTCTAGGTTACAGAAGCTGGAAAGTTGACTCTACCTAGCTGGTTGGTCTTCGATGAAGAATCTCGACAACTGAGTGGTGTCCCATCTCCCTCCAACATCGGAGATAATTACCTAGAAGTAGTGACCACAGGACCACAAAATTCTCAAGCCAAAGATGTGTTCTCCATTAAAGTGGTGGTGGAAAGCCCGCCCAATCATGTCCCACCCCCCACAAAATCATCTGACGGTAAGCCACAGACGGTGCGGTGTAAACGGGAGCAGCCGGAAACGTCTGCCACGATCGTGGTGGATGCCGACATGATGACCATGCCCCCTTCAGACAGGATCAATTTGATGAACATGTTGTCAGACCACCTTAACCTGGCCTCTGACATGATGAAGATGTTACCTCTTGGAGACAAAGAGGTCTTCGATAAGTCAGCTCTTGTAGCCGGACAAGGGGATTCAAAAGATCTCTCCACCCCTGGTATGATGATGTCTTGGTTGGTGGGCTGTGGAAGTGTTCAAAAAGACCACATGAATGTTCTGCAAAAAGTTGAGAGCTCTGCAGCAAGTGGTAAAATGAAACAAAGTGTAGGACACAAGATCATAGGATGGCATGTCATCAACACGGCTATTCAGGAGAAACCAAAACGTCGACGTAGAGCCATTATGGCAACTGCCACTGTCATTGATACTCCTAGTCCACCAACTAAGTTACCCGACACAGTTGTCACTGACATCAAGCCATCAGTGAGCACTGCACATCTGACCAGATCTGTCCCAGTCATGGAGACTTCATATACCAAGGTGGAGCCTACCAAAACCATGATCATGCCTTCTGCAAGTCCTACTATGGAAGTCAAGCCCACAGATATGATGACCAAGACCACCACAACATCCACCCCAAAACCAGCAGTGGTCACCTCAGCTCCCATCACACCATCTCCATCACCTAGTCCCCCTGTGGACAAATCGGAGATCATGCCAACTAAGTCCATGACGGTCACTGATGCTCCAACCAAGGTCACTCCACAACCAGAGCCCGAGGACCCCAATTGTCCTAACGATGGAAAGAGTCGTCCTCCAATCGTCACCGGAAAAATGGAGGATGTGGTCTTCAAGGTGGGCCACGAGATTCAGTATCCACTACCCGACAATCTTTTCTATGACTGCATTGATGGCAATACAAAGCAACTGACCATTAATATGTTTGGCAATGATACCGATGTCTTACCAAAAAATCATTGGTTGGAGCTGAAAGGAAAGAAGTCTGGAAACTTTAAAATTGTTGGCTTCCCAATGAACAAAAATCAAGGAAAGCATATGTATTCTCTCAAAGCTGGAAACACTTTTGGATTGCTGGCCACATATGTTGTGAAAGTCACAGTCCAACCTGATGAAAGGCTAAGTGGAGAACCCTCTCATAAGATCAGCATGACATTTGATGCAGATTATGAAAAATTCACCAATACTAAAGTCAAAGATCTGACAAGGAGTCTGGCCCAGTTCATGTTTGGTTCAGCAGATGCAGACGCCATCACAGTGCTAGATGTTCAGCCCGGTTCTGTTGTGTATTCTTGGACCAATAACCAACTCCCAACTGATTCCTGCCCAGCTAAACAGGTGTCAGAGACAATGGGCAAGTTTCTCAATGAAGATGGAACAGTCAACGAAAAGGCTAAACAAGAATTCCCTTATCCACTAAATGATGTGGAGGCAGTCCCCATGGGAGCATGTGTTGGTAATAAAGACTTCCCTTCTTCTGGAAAAATTATAGAGCCAATGACCCCTAAACCAGATGAGCCAGGGACCGATAAACCCACTTCAGAACCGACCGATCCTGGGAAGAAGGAGTTCCAAGAAGAAGAGGAGAATGAGATCTGGTTGACAACGGTTGTCCCTGCTGTTGTTATCGTTGTCTTGCTCATCATCTTCCTCATCATTGCCTGTGTCCTCTATCAAAAGAAGAGGAAGGGAAAAATGTCACTGGAGGACAAAAACTATCATAATAATAAAGGTGCACCTGTTATTTTCCCGGACGAATATGACGAAAAGCCAAATGATGCTTCTAAGCCTCTGATAATGGATGAAGAAAAACCACCTATGCCCCCACCTGAGTATACTCGGGGCTCAAGTGAAAATTCTAGATCCTCACAAGAGAATCACCATGGGGAGGAGTATGAAATGGATACAGACATTACCTCCCCCTTGTACCAGCCCCCACCCCCAGTTCCTTCAGGGGGGTCCAACAAACAGCCACGACCGCACATGCAGCCAGCACATAGAAATCCTGCACCCTACGTGCCACCATAATGTTGTATAAAAATGTTAGTGTGTTGCTGATTGGTGGGTGTAAACTGTTTGGATGGTTTTGATTGGATGATCTAAATGCTGAAGTGAGAATGCAGTTTAGATATTTTTGAGTGTGGTTGTTCAGTGTGGTTGTAAACATCAAACTTAACTGAGTAGTAAATAATTTTTCATCCGCTTCCAAAAAGTATAATACAGAAAGTTATAAGAAAGACTCGGGGAGATGCATTTTTGCCTTATTTAATATTGTCATCATTTTTGAGTAAGTGCTTTTTATTTCAAAAAGATTTATGTTTTAATGTGTGATGTTTTTCTCATCTCAGTGAATTTTTATTGTGTACATGTTGTATGAGCGCATTTACATGTGTTCTTCATGCAGTTTTAACTGTTAGAGTTGTTTGAAATGTTTGTGCATTGTGACAGAAGAATGGTTCTATGCAAGGAAATTTTGTAAACCTGCAGATAGGGAAATTAAACTTAATTTTAAATCAACATTTTTTTTTTTATCTGAAAGTTGATCCTTACCTCTTGTTAAAACATTAAATAGGTTACATATAATCATGAAAAGAAAATTTAAATTTCATATAGTGGAGTCATATTATAACTAAATAGGTTATACTGTGCTAGATTATTTTATAATCATGCATACATATGTTTATTCATAAGATGTTTTTATAATCACCAAACATTTATAATCATTATTTACCTTCAGTTACCATGGTTACCAGCTAGTCCAATGATTTGTGTTATACCAGGAGAGTTGATTAATTAAGAATGATATTATTGTATTTGTGTTGTAGTGCTTGATTACTATAGTTTCTATTGTTAGAGTGTATAATTTCAAATACTCAGCTTCCATGATTTTTTTTTTAATTTTAGTATTAATATCACATTAATTTGCAGATTGATATTATTTTGTCATTATTTTGTAATCAAGTCCAGACACAAGAACATTTTTGTACCACAAACACCTTAATAGTCTTAGAAGTGTGTAAATTTACACAAAAATAATCATGCATGCATATGGCCTTTAATTAAAGCATTTGCAAGACTAAGACTCCCTTTGAAAGAAGGGGAGAGAACTCAAAGCTGACTTTCAGGTCTTTAGTATAATTATCAATGCAATTATTAGGTAGATAGCATTTTTAGGTCACCTGAGTCACTCAGGTGACCTATTGCTATCCGTTTTCGTCCGTCGTCGTCCGTCGTGTGTCGTGTATCGTGTGTCGTGTGTCGTGTGTTAACATTTGAACATTTTCAGCTTCTTCTCTGAAACCACTAAACCAATTTCAACCAAATTTGGTATACAGCATCTATGGGTGAAGGGGAACAAAAATTGTGAATTTCATGGTCCCCGCCCCCCTGGGGCCTGAGGGGTGGGGCCAAAACTACCAAAATTACTGCAATCATTAAAAATCTTCTTCTTTACTCCTGGACATCAAGCAGGCTAACTGTTGACATGAATGTAATAAGCATTAAGTCCTCTACCAAAATTGTGAAATTCATGGCCCCAGGGTCAGGGGTTCTAGTGCTAGGGTGGGGCTAAATAGGTTATATAGTGAAAATGCATTATTTCCTTAAAAATCTTCTTCTCTGCTCCTGGGTATTAAATAAACTAACTAAGTACATAGTTATGATGAGAAAGAATGCCTCTTCCAAAATTGTGAATTTCTTGGCCCCAGGGTCAGGGGTTCTGTTGTTAGGGCGGGGCTCTATTGATTATATAGTGAAAATGCATTGAATCTCTGAATATCTTCTTCTCTGCTCTAGGGTATTAAATAAACAAACTAAGTACATAGTTATGATAAGCAAGAGTGCCTCTTTCAAATTTGTGAATTTCATGGCCCCAGGGTCAGGGGTTCTGGTGTTAGGGCGGGGCTCTATTGATTATATAGTGAAAATGCATTGAATCTCTGAAAATCTTCTTCTCTGATCTAGGGTATTAAATAAACAAACTAAGTACATAGTTATGATAAGCAAGAGTGTCTCTTTCAAATTTGTGAATTTCATGGCCCCAGGGTCAGGGGTTCTGGTGTTAGGGCGGGGCTCTATTGATTATATAGTGAAAATGCATTGAATCTCTGAAAATCTTCTTCTCTGCTCTGGGGTATTGAATAAACTAACTAAGTACATAGTTATGATGAGCAAGAGTGCCTCTTTCAAATTTGTGAATTTTATGGCCCCAGGGTCAGGGGTTCTGGTGTTAGGGCGGGGCTCTATTGATTATGTAGTGAAAATGCATTGAATCTCTGAAAATCTTCTTCTCTGCTCCTGGATATTAAATAAACTAACTAAGTACATAGTTATGATGAGCAAGAGTGCCTCTTCCAAATTTGTGAATATCTTGTCCCCAGGGTCAGGGGTTCTAGTGCTAGGGCGGGGCTATATAGATTATTCAGTGAAAATGCATTGAATCTCTGAAAATCTTCTTCTCTGCTCTGGGGTATTGAATAAACTAACTAAGTACATAGTTATGATGAGCAAGAGTGCCTCTTTCAAATTTGTGAATTTTATGGCCCCAGGGTCAGGGGTTCTGGTGTTAGGGCGGGGCTCTATTGATTATATAGTGAAAATGCATTGAATCTCTGAAAATCTTCTTCTCTGCTCTGGGGTATTAAATAAACTAACTAAGTACATAGTTATGATGAGCAAGAGTGCCTCTTTCAAATTTGTGAATTTCATGATGATAAAATTTTGAAATATGTGGCCCCAGGGCGTATGGTTTCTGTGGGATGGGGTGCACAATTGCATGGTTTAGAATGGAAGTGCATTTTTCTCTTAGTTACTCTAATCTACTTATGGGTGTTAAGTGACTATCTAGTAAGCATTGCTAAGTGTATAATTATGATAAGCAGCAGTGCCTCTTTGCAAAATTGTGAATTTCATGGCCTCTGGTTTAAAACACAAACCAAATTCAATTGTTGGAAAGTTGTTACATGAAACTCAGGTGACCTATAAGGCCCGTGGGCCTCTTGTATCTGTTTATCATTCCAAGCATATAGTTTGTTTTGCTGAATATCAGATTTCTTGTTAGTCCTATGATTCAAGGAATGGTTAAAAAAAACATCCTGATTGTTTTTTCAGTCTCTCTTGTTGCTATTCTGTTTGTGTTTGAACTCTTATTCATAAAGCAACAAAAAGATGTAAAATTATTTAAAATTTAAAAGTTCAGAAGCAAGATGGAGAATGTTGTCAATATTTTATTACCTGTATTTTTTTTCCGCATGTTTTTTTTTTTCAAATCGGTGTTTTGAGGTTGTGCATTTTATGTTTGTAATACAAGAAATGTATATTGTTGCATGAATAATTTTTACTATTTGATTTGAATAACAGGAAGTTAAAGATTTTTTAAATAATTCTTTTTTTTTACAATATGTCTGAAACCATCAGACCAATGTTCTCTAGTTATTACCAGTTCATTTTATTGAAATATATTATATTGAATACATTGTGCTACAAGTAAGTGTTTTTATGTGGTGTCTTGAAAATGAAAACATGTAAAAATCAAATATAGATTGTTAAGAATGTAATTTATTCATTTTCTTGGAATTCTTGTGCAAGAATTGATCTGAAATTCAAGTGTTGTTAAGAGTTACAGTAAAGGAATGACCAAGTGTATTTGTTATATATGGCTTATGTACATTATACATGTACATGTGTATGTTTTATTTTATGGACTAAAGGATGAAAAATAAAACAAGTGTAATAAAAAAGTTATCTTTATTTGTATTAAAAAGATGGGAAAATTTCTTCACTGGCCATTGGTCTGCAAGGGCAAATGGCGATAGGCATATTTACATGTACATGTATTTACAAGTTGTCAGTGCTTCACAAGAGTACCTCATGTTGATACTGATAAAGCACCTCATTTTGGAAAAGGGAGTGGGCAGCCTAAATGAGGGGAAAAAGACTCTCCTGCAAGGGACTAAGGGTTTTAATGTAAACCAAAAGGCCCCCTTAAATGAGAAGATCAAGTGCTTCAATAGCTAAAATGTCACCTCAAGTGAAAAGAAAAAGTACATGTACTTCAATAGCTAAAGTGTCATATGAGAAGAAAAGGTACCTCAATAGCTAAAATTTAAGTGTTGCCTCAAATGAGAAGAGAAAGATCACAAACCTTAAAATCATGTCATTTTGAACGAGAAGAAAGTATTTCAATAGCCATAAAGTGTCACCTCGTAAAGAAAAGGCACCTCAAGAGCTAAAATGTCACCTCGAGTGAAAAATGTCACCTCTAGTGAGAAGAAAATGTACCTTCTAAAATGTCACATGAAACAGAGAAAAAAAGCTAAAATGTCACCTTGAGTGAGAAAAAAAGGTACCTCAATAGCTAAAATGGCAATTTGATTGTCCATAAAATTCTAATGTCCCTTCATAAAATAGAAAAAGACCTTGCATTATATCTGTACATAATATATGTCTTTTAGGTACCATATTTGAAAACACGGTCTAGCTACAGACATATCTGAATCAACATAATTTTTTAATGAAATTTTGATGAATGATTTATCAAAGGCGCTCATCAACTACATTTTGTAAACGACGAAAAAAATCTACTTGTGCATATTATTATATCATAACCGCTCTAGCCTTTAAGAAAAGGTTAGAGGAATATGGTCCTATGCAAGTTTGCAAAATTAGATGTGAAGTTAACGTATTTAGATAAGCAATAAAATTGAAATGTAATCACATTTTTCTCTCTCCCTTTATTAAATGAAATTTCCTGGACTTGAGCTCTATGACTATTGTAAAGGATAGCCAGCGCCCATGGCCCATGCATGAAATATTTTTGCATTCCAGTCACTAAATATATATGTGATCAGTCTTTCTCTAAGCAAACATGCCCCGTCCTTGATTCTGGGTGTGTTCGATTCACAATTCTGTTATAGTTCCCCTATCTTCTAATGCTAGTCTTCGTTATATTGATCCATGTTTCCCTCATCTTCTGTTTGTATAATTTGACCTCGTAACTTGACCCTATACAAGTTTGAGGTGTGTATATTTTTTATGTATCTCCTGGAATCGCAGAAATGTCGGGCTTTGACAAGGGGAAGTTGTGTTAACTTTGGCCAAGTCCGCTAGATCGATCGGTGGATTGTATTGTTTTTGTCAGCTTCATATCACGCCCATGGTGTAAAAGTTCTGTGGTATTTGGGAGAGACTAGGGTGAGAGTTCGTCTATACTCTGCAATTGCTTGTCATCAATACACGGAACATTTTTTAGCGATGCAATCTGTTCTTGTTATACGCTCCCACAAGATGCACGCAAAAATCAGCGGGAAATGGTTTCATGTGCTCATAGATTTGCAAGTCGGAACATAGACGTGCACCTGTTATGTATATTTTTCATTATGAAAAAAATTTCAATCATTGCACTGTCGACATATTTTCTAGATTGTATACAAAGCTTTATAACGAAAAGCAACTTCAATGTTTCGTCTGAACAGACTGACACTCGACAATCACGAATTTAAGTAGACGACGCGAATGCTCGATTAAAGTTCTTGATAAAAACCCAGAGTGCGTGACTAATACTTTTTACATCAGGGTTACAAGGAATTTTACTCTAAAAGAAACGGTGTTAACACGTTCAAACTTTACAGCAGATGGCGATTAAACCTCACATTCCAATGACAGTTGTAGAACACGGATGAAATCCAAAGATTGTGAGATTTCTGCAGCATCAGACAATCTTTCATTAAGTTTTTCCAATTTCATTTTACGTTGGTAATTGCCGAGGAAATTTCTTTTGGGGATATAGAAATCCAAATAGAAGTTTATAGACATTGTCTTGGAACCCTTGACAGTTTAACTACAAATTCTTCAGACATTAATCAGACGTATTCCCCCCATAGTCGTCAGACGTTACTATAAGGGGTCACGTGTACTACCTTTCCTCATGACCTTTCATCTTTTCTATACTCTATACATGTACTGGAGAAAACGCGTAAACTTGTATATGAAATATTATTATTCATACTTGCATGAAAAGTCTAGGATACATTTTGGTTGAACTGTCCATGTTTGATATTTACTGTATACAGTGAAAAATTCAGCGACACAATGTACAAGATCTGCCACTGGCGTGTTCACTTCTACAACTAAGTTCTGGGGTCCAGATACCTGCATGTC